ATGCATGTCATCAATCCCAATTGCGTGGATCGATGTTCATGATGTCAATCACTGGATTGTCTGGTCCAGACTTGATTATTTACAGACCGCCGTCATATAGCTGGAATATTGCTGAGTGAGGCGTTAAACAACAAACAAACAAACCAACCTTGTGATTGAATTGCCTTTGCTCATTCACATTCCTTGAAACTAGTGATTAGTGTTTATTTTATCTTCTTTACATATTGTTTATTATCCACATTAACAACAAAAAGGTCACTCAGAGGCCAATAGTGGCATAACGACAAACTGAAAGTAGTAGCCAGCAGTCATTTTAAGTTACCTTCCGTTGTCCCGGCATTTGTTGTTACAGATTATGGATAGCAACAGTCATCTTGTTAGAAGTTCAGGTTAATTGGAACGTGTAAACATGTACACAAAACATCGAAGTCTAAACTCATATTTTTCTCTTTGTATGGCCAGGTGTTTGGGCAGCTGGAATGCAAACCCGATACAAATGAATAGATATTGCTTAGATAATCAACAATGCACAATAGGAACCCAGATCTATATTCCTGCAATGTTCCACCTCTATGGCATCACCTGACAAAGGTTTATAGATAACAGCTTCCTTATCATATTTTATAGCAACGTTTCGGTGTAGAGCCTAAAACTGTCTTGCTTGACAACAGTATAAGGATCTATAGCGATAGTCGCTTTTACAGTATAATAAAGAAGTTGACTTTTTTTTACAGGTCTCTGTAATATGGTTGGAATATACCAAGGTTATATTCAGGACAGAATCAGAACAGAGTCATGCTTGTGTCTGGTTAGACCACGGTTAGATTCAGGACAGAATCAGACTAGAGTCATGCTTGTGTCTGGTTAGACCACGGTAAGGCTTAGAACAGAATCAGACTAGAGTCATGCTTGTGTCTGGTTAGACCACGGTTAGGCTTAGAACAGAATCAGACTAGAGTCATGCTTGTGTCTGGTTAGACCACGGTTAGGCTTAGAACAGAATCAGACTAGAGTCATGCTTGTGTCTGGTTAGACCACGGTTAGGCTTAGAACAGAATCAGACTAGAGTCATGCTTGTGTCTGATTAGACCAAGCTTAGGCTCGGAACAGAATCAGATCAGAGTCATGCTTGTGTCTGGTTAGACCACGGTTAGATTCAGGACAGGATCAGATTAAGTCTATAACAGCTGGTGTAGGACTTAGATGCAGGCTTGTGGAGCAATATTTCACGGAGATGAAAATGACAGTTTAATGACATTGTGTTGTATTCATATTTTCAATGGAATTCTGATTAAATCGCGCCCGGTGGGAACATATTGTGTCATGCAAGAGCCCTAAGTAGGCGATAAATCTGATTATCACCTCGCAGACAACAATAAGCATTTTAATTGTCTGGCTCTGTCTGGCGGCCCACTTCAAGGGGACAAATTTTATTCGGAAATCATGATGGATACAGTGATGACATTAAGGGATAAATGTGTTGATCAAGTTTGAAAACTATCATTGTGTTTGACATGGTTATGGTCCTTGTTTTGAGATTTGTTTACAGTGTAAACTTTACACCCTTCGTTGGCAAAACAGGCAGATATAGTGATCCGCATGTCCATCTGTCCGTCATGAATTTTACATTTCCGGAGCACAACTCCGAAACCACTGAATGATTTGAGTTTTGGCTTTTTTCATGACGACAAGTTGGAGTTAGCTGTAAATGAAGGTAGTGCTTGTTTCCGGAGCAGAACTCCAAAACTGTTGAATATTTCTGGATGAACCTTGCTATACCAATGAGTCTGCCCGTGAAAATATGCGTTAGAAATGGTTTTCAGCAACCCATGCTTGCCGTAAAAGGCAACTAACAGGATCGGGTGTCAGGCTCACTGACTTGGTTGATGCATGTCATCGTATCCAATTGTGTGGATCAATGCTCATGATGTCAATCACTGGATTGTCTGGTCCAGACTCGATTATTTACAGAACGCCGTCATATAGCTGGAATATTGCTGAGTGCTGCGTTAAGCAACAAACAAACAAATAAATGAATCTAGTGGTTAACTTGTGCTTTTTGAGGATTAAGGATATTGAAAATTACTGAACAGCATTAGTTTTTTCTTCACTGAACTGAAGGTATCCGATGGCAATGATCCAAAAGGGGGATGTTAGTTGCCAAACTCCATTTCAGAATTGTACCAGACTGGGGGTATGTTTTATCTTGTGATGACTCTTTTTAATAATTATTTTATTTACAAACATGGCATATGTACAAAAACTGGCCTATTCACATAACTCCTTAAATCCTTGAAATTTTTTGCAAGCACTAGATTTGGGGAATTCCTTAAGTTCTGAGAACATTGTGGATCCATGTTAACCATGTGAGTGAGTGAGTGAGTGAGTTGGGTTTAACGCCGCTTTTAACAGTATTCCAGTTATATCGCGGCGTGTCAGCTAAGTGTGGGAGGAAAGCCCGAAGTGATAACCATATGTTAACATTGATACCCAGCAGCCCAATGTAAAGGTGACTAAATTGGATCATGTGGTCAGATTCAGTGACTTTGCTGAATGTTATTGTTATTCTGCTCATGATTTTCAGTTATTGTTTGCTTATTTACAGGCAATCATGATATTGCTGGAATATTGCTGCAAGACTTTGGAAAAAATACTCTTGATTTTTGGTAGCAGTGTTTCTGTTTTGTCGACCTTCATCATCAGAAATGGATAAATTAATGACCTCAAGTGATTTGTGTCCATTCCTAACATTAGATATGCAGTGATACAATGGGGCCGCGATATGATATGTATCCTCATACTATGGGTGCGATACGATTCGTATCAAGATGCAGTATTTTGCAGGTGAATCACGACACTGAGTAATTTGTTTTTAGTCTTCAGAGAGCGAATATACCAAAAGGTTAGGGATCATAAATATTTTGGGGTATTTTTTTACTAAGCCACACAATATCATAAAAATGTCTCCCAAAAAATTCATTATCTCTAGCTTGTTTATTCAGTAAATATATAGACACCATCACTAACATGATGCTCAATTTGATATTCTTGTTCCATTAAATCAATCAGTCTACATGGTTCCGTTCCGTTCCGTTCCGTTCCGTTCCGTTCCGTTCCGTTCCGTTCCATTCCATTCTGTTCCTTGTCTGTCATCACACAGCCAATTGCCAGCTGAATTAAAGCTGACATTATCACTTACACGTCTGAAAATCACAAAATTGGGGCTGAAAATCTTAATGGCCAATTACAAAGCATAGCCTGTTTGTCAGATGTAGTCTAGGATACAATTTCATGGCCACAAACCAGAAGCCATGTTTTATTTGAGTGAACGTGACACTAGAACACTTTCAACAATGGTCACACTATTTGGAATCCACTCAATAACCTACTGATTATTTCAAATAATTCATACAATGGTTTATTGCTAATATGGAAACATATGGCATTGAACACTGCCATGTGTATATCAGATACATCAGAAGTTTCAAGTCACCTTGATATTCAACATGGTTGAAAAGGTTCACCAAAACCGAGGAGGACTAACTTATGAACCGTCTTAACTGTAAGAAATACCAAAAAGAATAAATAACATTGGTACACCTTATAGAGAAACAATACACTAGTCGCAGTATAAAACAAATTTGATGAGAGCGAGCGAGAGAAAAACCATGTGTAGCCTGCATACATCTGAAGTCATGACATGTAAGATTGTGCACCCTAAAATTCATTGCCCTGGTGACTCCGTGGGTTACAGTACTAAACATCATATGTGAAGTTGCAGGTTCGATTCACAAAATGGAAAAACATTCATCACTTTTAACCAGTGCATTTTGAAATGTTTATAAATATTTTTTGATGTAACACTCTTCATTTAAAATTAGAAAGTAATTTAATTAATTAAAATGGGCATGGATACTAGAAACTGAGTTTGTAGGCTTTCCACTATTTGAAGAAGCCGTAAAGACAATAGGATGATGTTACTTTGGGTTAATAAAATATATAGATCCAGAAAAGGGTGCAGTCGTGTGAAACCCTAACCCTCAATCCACAACCACCCACCCCCCAAACCCAATCAGTCGTACGGGCCGTAACTGTCGTTCAGAATACCCCGTGTTAACGTTTTCATGGTTGCATGATTAGAAAACACATTCCGACTGTCACTTTCACGATCTGGTAAGCGATGATTTGATTGGTCGGATCAAAGGTCGTTCTGACATGACCTGTAATGTCCTCTTTGTTTAGCGATAGCAAGAACTAAGATCTGATTTTAATGAGATTGAACCTGACCACCGATGCATTCACCCTCCTCTTATGACAAGCATAGGGTGGAGGGTAATGCTGGGATTAGTAACTCGGGTACTCGTGTCGGGTGGGTACTGAGTAGGATCCGGGTACCCACAGGACTACCCAGACACGTGGTTTGTCACATGATATATTATTTAATTGCAAAAAAAATCTAGAACTCTATGGTTACACTACAAGTCACTAATGTTCACATTTCTTTCTGACTATGCACCCATTCCTTCTGACTTTATATGTTTGAAGAAAGATAAAGATTCAGTCAACTCCAGTGTATGCATGACCAGATATTTTATATGTGTATCTAAATACATTTTGCCAGGGCTACAGTCAAACTATTCCCAATTAGACATTTTCAACCCGTCTCTTGAGACCTATCAAGTTTCATTACTATTTGTATCGCTCAACCTAAAATCTAAACACAAATTCATTTTCAAATGGTGTTTCCCTTTGAAACTGATTCATGAAACGGAGGAAATGTGGAAGTGATTTTTCTGTCATGTCATTATCTCCCCTGAATCCATGACTACAAGATGGTGGGGACTGACCTTGCTGTCAGTATTGCTACTTTAGTAGGTAGAAAATAGGATCTGCATGTACAGTCAGTGTCAATCACTGTAATACAATTCTTTTTCCCTATTACAGCACACACAGCCCTATTATATGCACGCCAGATTATATGAATGTCACATTGTTTTCAGTCTGTGGGATAACATGCCGTTGAAGAAAATCTGTTGTATCGGTGCTGGGTACGTGGGCGGTCCATCATGTGCCGTCATCGCATACAAGTGTCCGCATCTAGATGTCGAGGTCGTCGACCTCAGCCAGGAAAGAATTGACCAATGGAACTCTGATGACTTGCCCATATTTGAGGTAAGCGACAAGGCATGACTTGCCCATATTTGAGGTAAGCAATTAGACATGACTTGCCCATATTTGAGGTAAGCAACAAGGCATGACTTGCCCATATTTGAGGTAAGCAACAAGGCATGACTTGCCTATATTTGAGGTAAGTGAGTGAGTGAGTGAGTTAATATTTAACGTCACATCGGCAATATTTCAGCCATATCGTGACGAGAATTAATACATTAATAAGTATATATAATTTATAAAAAACCTGTCAGCAAAGGACAGTTCAATAACTAGAATATCACAGAGTGTATTAAAACTAGTTGAGGAACATATAAAAGTAATAAGAATTAACAACACAATATAAAAATGGGCTAGAGATCATCAGTAACTAAAGGGAGAACACCATACCAGGGACCATGGGGACTTACAGTGCCTTTGCTTCCTGCATGGACCCTGGCTGGATTTATATCAGTCCTTCAGTCACTGGCGATAGTTTACCAGTTAAGCCTTAGATTAAAATGACAAAAATACTACGTTTTAAAATTCTGGTATGCATAACAATACATTGAATGATGTGGGACTTACATACCCTCTTAGGGGGACAATAATTTTACGCTACTTCAACCCCCCTCGAGGGTACAGCCACTAACAATCTAAGTTATATATTAGCACTACCAATATATAAAAACATATTAGGTACATCAAAATTTATGTATTTGAGGTAAGCGACAAGGCATGACTTGCCTATATTTGAGGTAAGCCACAAGACATGACTTGCCTATATTTGAGGTAAGCCACAAGACATGACTTGCCCATATTTGAGGTAGGCAACAAGGCATGACTTGCCTATATTTGAGGTAAGCGACAAGGCATGATTGCCTATATTTGAGGTAAGCAACAAGGCATGACTTGCCCATATTTGAGGTAAGCCACAAGACATGACTTGCCCATATTTGAGGTAAGCAACAAGACATGACTTGCCCATATTTGAGGTAAGCAACAAGGCATGACTTGCCCATATTTGAGGTAAGCAACAAGGCATGACTTGCCCATATTTGAGGTAAGCGACAAGACATATTAGGTAAGCAACAAGGCATGACTTGCCCATATTTGAGGTAAGCAACAAGGCATGACTTGCCTATATTTGAGGTAAGCCACAAGACATGACTTGCCCATATTTGAGGTAAGCAACAAGGCCTGACTTTCCTATATTTGAGGTAAGCCACAAGACATGACTTGCCCATATTTGAGGTAAGCGACAAGACATGACTTGCCCATATTTGAGGTAAGCAACAAGGCATGACTTGCCCATATTTGAGGTAAGCCACAAGACATGACTTGCCCATATTTGAGGTAAGGGACAAGGCATGACTTGCCTATATTTGAGGTAAGCAACAAGACATGACTTGCCCATATTTGAGGTAAGCAACAAGGCCTGACTTTCCTATATTTGAGGTAAGCCACAAGACATGACTTGCCCATATTTGAGGTAAGCGACAAGACATGACTTGCCCATATTTGAGGTAAGCAACAAGGCATGACTTGCCCATATTTGAGGTAAGCCACAAGACATGACTTGCCCATATTTGAGGTAAGGGACAAGGCATGACTTGCCTATATTTGAGGTAAGCAACAAGACATGACTTGCCCATATTTGAGGTAAGCAACAAGGCATGACTTGCCCATATTTGAGGTAAGCGACAAGGCATGACTTGCCCATATTTGAGGTAAGGGACAAGGCATGACTTGCCCATATTTGAGGTAAGCAACAAGGCATGACTTGCCCATATTTGAGGTAAGGGACAAGGCATGACTTGCCCATATTTGAGGTAAGCAACAAGGCATGACTTGCCCATATTTGAGGTAAGGGACAAGGCATGACTTGCCCATATTTGAGGTAAGGGACAAGGCATGACTTTCCTATATTTGAGGTAAGCCACAAGACATGACTTGCCCATATTTGAGGTAAGCAACAAGGCATGACTTGCCCATATTTGAGGTAAGCAACAAGGCATGACTTGCCCATATTTGAGGTAAGGGACAAGGCATGACTTGCCCATATTTGAGGTAAGCCACAAGGCATGACTTGCCTATATTTGAGGTAAGCAACAAGGCATGACTTGCCCATATTTGAGGTAAGCAACAAGGCATGACTTGCCCATATTTGAGGTAAGCCACAAGGCATGACTTGCCTATATTTGAGGTAAGCAACAAGGCATGACTTGCCCATATTTGAGGTAAGCAACAAGGCATGACTTGCCCATATTTGAGGTAAGCGACAAGGCATGACTTGCCTATATTTTAGGTAAGCAACAAGACATGACTTGCCTATATTTGAGGTAAGCGACAAGGCATGACTTGCCCATATTTGAGGTCTAAATGACAAGACGTTTAATCATGTTAATTAAGAACTGCTCTAATCAATTGTTTTACAAATATAAATGATTATCATTATTGTAGGAAAACTATACTCAGGTAAGATATTTTTGTGGTGTTTTCATGTTTTTCGCGTTTTCCGACTGCAGCGTATTTCGCACAGGGGCCCGGCCAAGCCATTTAATGTGTTTCCGAAAAGGGGAAAAAGTTGTTTGGCAATCCAGTAGGGGTGTTTTAGTGGTTGCTTATATAGAATTTTGGAAATTTTGAGATTAGGAAAAAATGCCAAGAGGGTTTGGGGGGCAAACTAAGGGACCTGAGTATGGAAGTTTGTTAGTTTGATTATGTGGTTTGGTTTTGGTAGTTTATTGGGGTTTTAAATGCGATTTATTAGTCCTGTTTTGATTAAGTTTACGCCTAAGGCTTTGAATTTTTCTATTTTATTTTGTGGATTTCGGATTGCTTCTAGAGTAAGAGCCTTATTTAGATTTAGGGTGGTTTGTAGTGTTGTTTGGTGTGTTAGGTAGTGGCTGCAGTGTATGAGTGCGTGTTCTGGGGTTTCTTGTTGTTTGCAATGTGGGCAGGTTCCTGATGCGTGTTTTCTTAATACTTTGAGGTGGTTATTTAGGTTGGTATGTCCTGTTTGGAGTTTAGTGATTACTGTCGAATTTTTTGGATGAATGTAGAATTTTTGGTTTGGTTAGGGGTTTTTCCAGATCGTTTTTGATTTGCTTACTTACTTACTTACTTTGGAGATTTAACGTGCGCTTTCCGACTGATGCGTATTTCGCACACGGGGATGGATGGAGAATTTTTGGTTTGGTTAGTGGTTTGCTGAGTACTTTTTTGATTTGGCTATTTGAGTTTTGATATAGGTGATGCCATTTTTTGGTGATTTTTTGCTTGTTGACACTTTTAATTTTTGACTTGGAGATGGGTAGGTTTAAGCTTATTTCCGGGATTTTAAGGGATAGTTTAACTGCTTTATCGGCGTTTTCCCCTCCTCTCAAGCATCAGTGGATTTATATCTAAAGAAAACGTCCTCTGTCAGGTTTACAGGAGAATCCTCACCTTAATCCAACCTTACATTAATCCAATCACAACACCAAATAGCACAGCTTATTAGCGCTGAGTAGAGTACTTCCACTAAAACAATACATGCGCGCTGGCTCGTATCGGACTTTGACGCATTCACAAGGAACAAAGACACTCTGTTGCGTGGGTGGCGTCTGTCTGGACTTGCAGGTGTGATCAGTGATGACAGTGAACTCTTGTCTTGACCCCAGCAGTGACAATTCACAGGATGTAATTAGTGTTTGAATGACATTGTTTATATACTTGTTACAAGTGCTGCTCAATAAACAGTGATGGGGAATACATATTGTTGTTTGTTTTCAGCATATGTCTAATTAGGTACCAGTATTCCTGCTATCCAAAATGTCTTGTTGTTGATAAAAATGTGATGCTTAATAATGAGAGCAAAGACCACTTGCATTTTTCGCATTTTATTCATGCTCGCGTTAATTTCGAGATTTACAGTAGGTGCCAAACTCACTTTGTCATTAAACTTACCATATTCCTTCCTTTGTTTGGGGGGGCGGTCGGGTAGCCAAGTGGTTAAAGCGTTTGCTCGTCACGCCGAAGACCCGGGTTCGATTCCAGACATAGGTATAATGTGTGAAGCCCATTTCTGGTGTCCCCTGCCGTGATATTGCTGGAATATTGCTAAAAGCGGCATAAAACCATACTCACTCACTCACTCACTCTTTGTTTGGGCTTGTTTTCAATAAGGTTTTGGATAAAGTCAAGTTCAGAATTGAAGTTTTTGTAAAACATGGTTGTATCATTGTCAGTTTTTTGGGTATGGTTGCCTCAACAGGCCTGGAACTGTATATGTCACTGAGTGAAAATTACAGACAAATTTACAAATTGACTGTAACATATCTGTGCTTGTTTCTTTACAAATCCTACCACATGAAATGTTGGTGACCTAGCTGCCTGTCAAAGGTCAAGGTCATCTTTCAGGATGCTATGAAACATTCATTGCCACTTACTGTTGCACCTAACTTATATTATCCTGAGACTTTGGAAATTCTTTGATCTCTAGAAGTTGTCTTGATTTAGTTCTGAGGGTAAAGTTTTCAGGCTGGAAGTACACAGCATGATAACATTTTGGGAGACTTGAGAAAATGGCGGTGCAAACACCTCTAGTTATTTTTGTGTTTCAGCCCAAACTTCATGAGGTCATCCAGGAATGTCGAGGCAGAAACCTGAAGTTCTCCACCAACATCGACCAAGCCATCCAGGAGGCGGAGCTCATCTTCATCTGCGTCAACACACCGACCAAGAACTATGGCATTGGCAAGGTAAGTTAGAGGTGTGATCAAACCTGGGTACAGTGAAACTCTGTTAATCAGGACAATCCAGGTAAAGCCCTGATAGTCAGGACAGTCCCACTGAAACCCTGCTAATCAGGACAGTCCCACTGAAACCCTGCTAGTCAGGACAGTCCCGCTGAAACCCTGCTAGTCAGGACAGTCCCACTGAAACCCCAATAGTCAGGACAGTCCCGCTGAAACCCTGCTAGTCAGGACAGTCCCACTGAAACCCTGCTAGTCAGGACAGTCCCACTGAAACCCTGCTAGTCAGGACAGTCCCACTGAAACCCTGTTAGTCAGGACAGTCCCACTGAAACCCTGCTAGTCAGGACAGTCCCACTGAAACCCTGCTAGTCAGGACAGTCCCACTGAAACCCTGTTAGTCAGGACCGTCCCACTGAAACCCTGCTAGTCAGGACAGTCCCACTGAAACCCTGCTAATCAGGACAGTCCCACTGAAACCCTGCTAGTCAGGACAGTCCCACTGAAACCCTGTTAGTCAGGACAGTCCCGCTGAAACCCCAATAGTCAGGACAGTCCCGCTGAAACCCTGCTAGTCAGGACAGTCCCACTGAAACCCTGCTAATCAGGACAGTCCCACTGAAACCCTGCTAGTCAGGACAGTCCCGCTGAAAACCTGCTAGTCAGGACAGTCCCACTGAAACCCCAATAGTCAGGACAGTCCAGCTGAAACCCTGCTAGTCAGGACAGTCCCACTGAAACCCAGCTAGTCAGGACAGTCCCACTGAAACCCAGCTAGTCAGGACAGTCCCACTGAAACCCTGCTAGTCAGGACAGTCCAGCTGAAACCCTGCTAGTCAGGACAGTCCCACTGAAACCCAGCTAGTCAGGACAGTCCCACTGAAACCCTGCTAGTCAGGACAGTCCCACTGAAACCCTGCTAGTCAGGACAGTCCCACTGAAACCCTGTTAGTCAGGACAGTCCCACTGAAACCCTGCTAGTCAGGACAGTCCCACTGAAACCCTGCTAATCAGGACAGTCCCACTGAAACCCTGCTAGTCAGGACAGTCCCACTGAAACCCTGTTAGTCAGGACAGTCCCGCTGAAACCCCAATAGTCAGGACAGTCCCACTGAAACCCTGCTAGTCAGGACATTCCCACTGAAACCCTGCTAATCAGGACAGTCTCACTGAAACCCTGTTAGTCAGGACAGTCCCACTGAAACCCTGCTAGTCAGGACAGTCCCACTGAAACCCTGTTAGTCAGGACAGTCCCACTGAAACCCTGCTTGTCAGGACAGTCCCACTGAAACCCTGTTAGTCTGGACAGTCCCACTGAAACCCTGCTAGTCAGGACAGTCCCGCTGAAACCCTGCTAGTCAGGACAGTCCCGCTGAAACCCTGTTAGTCAGGACAGTCCCGCTGAAACCCTGCTAGTCGGGACAGTCCCGCTGAAACCCTGTTAGTCAGGACAGTGCCGCTGAAGCCCTGTGTTATATGTCAGTTTATGTTGTAAGTTATTTTTGATGATTGTCAGTGGCAGCAAATATGAAGCGCTCATAAAATCTCGAGCAGCACACATCGTACCAATGTGGGAAATCGAACCTGGGCCTTCAGGATGATCAACAAATGCTTCAATCACTAGGCTAACCCACTGCCACCTACATGAATTAAAGTTGACCCCCACCTTCACTGACTCCCCCCGTGTGTTACAGGGCCGAGCTGCTGACCTGAAGTACATTGAGTCGGCCGCCAGAAGGATAGCTGCTGTTGCCAAAAGCTCCAAGATTGTGGTTGAGAAGAGTACTGTCCCGGTCAAGGCGGCCGAGAGCATCACAGATATCCTGAAGGCTAATGTAAAGAAAGGAGTCAAGTACCAGGTCAGTTTTTTAATATATATACAACAAACTGATGGATAGAACGAACAATGTTTTTGTCCCATCCATTTGCTGTATATATAGGGCGGTCAGGTAGCCTAGTGGTTAAAGCATTTGCTCGTCACGCCAATGACCCGGGTTCGATTCCCGACATGGGTAGACCGCCTCTGTGGTCTTGTGGTAGAGCGTCCGCCCGGAGAGCGGAAGGTTCGGGGTTCGATCCCTGGCCACGTCATACCGAAAGACGTTAAAAGATGGTACTTGTTGTTTCTCTATCAGGCGCTCGGCATTAATCGGCTAAAACAAGGACTGGTCGACTCGCAGTCAGTATACTGTGTCTGAGTGGGTTATTCATGTTAAACTGCGGCATGGTATCTCAGTGAGCTAGCACTATAAATCAGCATCAGTCCGGACTAGTACAAGCAGACACACACACACACACACACACACACACACACACACACACACACACACACACACACACACACACACACACACACACACACACACACACACTGCTGTATATATACGCTGTATATTTGCTTATAACAAACTATGGTTATAACGAACTAGAATTAATGCTCCCTTAGAGTTCGTTATAACGGTAGTTAACTGTAGTACTGCTATGTTATACTTAACCCACCTGGCCTGAGGTCATCAACAGTGACGTTGGCAGCCTTAAACTTTATACATTTTCAACTTCTAAATTTCTTGATGGATTCAGCTCAAATATATGTGGATGTTTGTTGCTATAAGGGGGTTCAAATCTGTTTCAAGGTATCAAACCAGGAATGTCAATATGGCCGCCAGGTTACCATCTTTGATTAAAAAGAAGAAAAATTTAAAATGTGCACCTCAAAAACGTAAATGGCCAGATGGGAGAAACTTGGTATGTCAGATGATCACCTTGTGTAGTACCAAGTCTTGCTTGATAACGGTACACCGATCCATACCGAACATCGCTTTTTACAGTATTAAAGAAGTTGTTATCCATACAATTGTGTCCACCTTGTCATCCGTCAAGTTCTAAGTCATGCCTATCAAACAAATTAGTACCAAATTTGTTTAAGACATCTTGGTCGGAAATCAAATATGTTTTGTTTTTTTAAGTGGCTGCCTGTGTTGACATATAAACTGATGACTGTATATCCAGGTTAGCTGTGACAAAGTTTTTGATTGTATGACAAGGTAGTAGGAGGACATGCTTTGTACACATTTAGAAGTCATAAAACAGTTATTGTCGGGTACAACGGATGGTGTCAGGTACAACAGATTGATTCAGTTGTCACAGATACAACAGATGGTATCAGGTACAATGGATAGTATCAGGTACAATGGATAGTATCAGGTACAACGGATGGTGTCAGATACAACAGATAGTATCAGGTACAACGGATAGTATCAGGTACAACGGATAGTATCAGGTACAATGGATAGTATCAGGTACAATGGATGGTGTCAGATACAACGGATAGTATCAGGTACAATGGATAGTATCAGGTACAACGGATGGTGTCAGGTACAACAGATTGATTCAGTTGTCACAGATACAACAGATAGTATCAGGTACAACGGATAGTATCAGGTACAACGGATGGTGTCAGATACAACAGATAGTATCAGGTACAATGGATAGTATCAGGTACAACAGATAGTATCAGGTACAATGGATAGTATCAGGTACAACGGATGGTGTCAGATACAACGGATAGTATCAGGTACAACAGATAGTATCAGGTACAACGGATAGTATCAGGTACAACAGATAGTATCAGGTACAATGGATAGTATCAGGTACAACGGATGGTGTCAGATACAACGGATAGTATCAGGTACAACAGATAGTATCATGTACAATGGATAGTATCAGGTACAACAGATAGTATCAGGTACAACAGATAGTACCAGGTACAATGGATAGTATCAGGTACAACGGATGGTGTCAGGTACAACAGATAGTATCAGGTACAATGGATAGTATCAGGTACAACAGATAGTATCAGGTACAATGGATAGTATCAGGTACAACGGATGGTGTCAGATACAACGGATAGTATCAGGTACAACAGATAGTATCAGGTACAACGGATAGTATCAGGTACAACAGATAGTATCAGGTACAACAGATAGTATCAGGTACAATGGATAGTATCAGGTACAACGGATGGTGTCAGGTACAACAGATAGTATCAGGTACAATGGATAGTATCAGGTACAACGGATAGTATCATGTACAACAGATATAGTATCAGGTACAACGGATAGTATCAGGAACAACGGATAGTATCAGGTACAACAGTTAGTATCAGGTACAACGGATAGTATCAGGTACACATGGGTACAAGTGTGAAGAACGTATCTAGTGCCATGATGTTGCTGGAACATCCATACTGATTGACTGACTCACTTACTATCTTCTCCCATGCAGGTATTGTCTAACCCGGAGTTCCTGGCCGAAGGCACAGCTATCAAGGATCTCCTGAGCCCCGACCGCGTTCTGATTGGTGGAGAGGAGACCCCAGATGGGAAGGAGGCTATCAATGGTCTCTGCTGGATTTACGAACACTGGGTACCTCGGAAACAGATAATTACCATGAACACCTGGTCCTCAGAGCTGTCAAAACTGGTTAGTCCATCTTCACAGCATAGTGGGGGAGGGGCACGGGTGGCCAAGTCGTCTAAGGCGCCGCAATTTACTGTGCAGAATTGCGTCCCTTGGGCATGCCAGAAACCTATGATTGTTGGTTCGAATCCTGGTTCGCCCCGATTATGTTTCTAGGTTTGTCACCACCATACCTGTGCTTGTGAGTTTCACCTGTTTTGAGGGCTCATGTTTTGCTTGCCGGGGTTGTGAATACTGTTATTAAACTGTATTCATTGAATCAGATGCCTTGTTGCCGGGACATTTGCTGTCCTTACAAAAAGTATCATTTGCAAATGTCCATCAGCCAATGTTTTACATGACGATACATCTAGATACACATGCTGTGTTTTCATAGCGATGTTACCTGCAGATTTAACCCTGCTCAATTGATTTTGGAAATGAATATCAGAAGACACAGAAATCTGATATGCTTGTCTGAATGCTTCGGGTAGAGCGTCCGCCCAGAGAGCGGAAGGTCCGGGGTTCGATTCCCGGCAGCGTCGTACCAAAAGACGTTAAAAGATGGTACTTGTTGTTACCCTGTCTGGCGCTCGACATTAAGGGACTGGTCGGCTCGGAGTCAGTATACTGTGTCTGAGTGAGGTATTCATGTTAAACTGCGGCATGGTATCTCAGTGATCTAGCACTATAAATCGGCATCAGTCCGGACTAGTACAAGCAGCCACACAAACACACAAATACACGTGCATGCACGTCGCAGTATGAGTGCAATAATCTTGGACGCGATGTTAAACCCCATTTCACCTCACCTCACCTGAATGCTTCACTCATTCATACGAAGAATTTAGAAATCTTAATTTTGATTGGCTGATTAGAAAGGTCACCTGCTGGTGTCCTCAGAGCCTGAGTCGGAGGGTATTATATTGGAGTAAAAGATACGATTGTAAAGAGATTGGGAATATCCCTGTTCAGATGTACATGTCATTACAATGTAATATAGGTCAGTTTCCCTCCATGTGTCTACATTTCATTGTGATGAATAAGAAGAGTCTTTCGTTTTAAATTGTGAACAATAGTCCTGTTAATACCCAGGCATTCTTGCTCAGTGAATGACATAGGTCAAACAGGCCAATGGGGCTAGTAACCTTTCACTAACACAATGCCACAGCAAAGATGACTGGTCCTCATTTCAGGATTAGGAACCGTTTACAAATGCAGTAGGAATGTTACAAAACTTTTTTTCTTGTGGTATGCATATTAAGATGAAGCGAAGTACATGTGATTACGTAGCTGATAGGAGCAAAAATAGCAATAAGAGAGATTCGTTTAGCTCATTTTTCATATCGAATCGCATCTTCGATTTTAAATGTTTGAAAAAAGTTACTAGACAGGCGGGATAGAGAGTTTGAAATAATACTGGCCCCGCAAGAAAACTATTGGCCACGGGATAGCAGGCCGGCAGCTATTTCGAACACTGTTCCTGCTAACTTCAAAACTTGTTTTCAGGCAGCCAATGCATTCCTTGCACAGAGGATCTCCAGTATCAATGCCATGTCAGCTGTGTGCGAGGCAACAGGTGCCGATGTGTCGGAAGTGGCCAACGCCATTGGAACAGACAGTAGGATCGGGCCCAAGTTCCTGCAGGCTAGCGTAGGTAGGTCAGACAGTTAGATTTGTGACCAAGTTCCTGCAGGCTAGCGTAGGTAGGTCAGACAGTTAGATTTGTGACCAAGTTCTTGCAGGCTAGCATAGGTAGGTCAGACAGTTAGATTTGTGACCAAGTTCCTGCAGGTTAGCGTAGGTAGGTCAGACAGTTAGATTTGTGACCAAGTTCCTGCAGGTTAGCGTAGGTAGGTCAGACAGTTAGATTTGTGACCAACTTCCTGCAGGTTAGCGTAGGTAGGTCAGACAGTTAGGTTTGGGACCATGTTCCTGTAGGTTGGTGTAGGTAGGTCAGACAGTTTAGGTTGGGGACCAAGTTCTTGCAGGTTAGCGTAGGTAGGTCAGACAGTTAGATTTGTGACCAAGTTCCTGCAGGCTAGCGTAGGTAGGTCAGACAGTTAGATTTGTGACCAAGTTCCTGCAGGTTAGCGTAGGTAGGTCAGACAGTTAGGTTTGGGACCCAGTTCTTGCAGGTTAGCGTAGGTAGGTCAGACAGTTAGATTTGTGACCAAGTTCCTGCAGGCTAGCGTAGGTAGGTCAGACAGTTAGATTTGTGACCAAGTTCCTGCAGGTTAGCGTAGGTAGGTCAGACAGTTAGATTTGTGACCAAGTTCCTGCAGGTTAGCGTAGGTAGGTCAGACAGTTTAGGTTGGGGACCAAGTTCTTGCAGGTTAGCGTAGGTAGGTCAGACAGTTAGGTTTGGGACCATATTCCTGTAGGTTGGTGTAGGTAGGTCAGACAGTTAGATTTGTGACCAAGTTCCTGCAGGTTAGCGTAGGTAGGTCAGACAGTTAGCCAGACAGTTAGGTTTGGGACCCAGTTCCTGCAGGTTAGCGTAGGTAGGTCAGACATTTAGGATTAGGGCCCAAGTATTTGTAAGTATGCACAAGTGAGTGTATTCCAGGGGCTAGTGGGCTGAATGGTGGGTGGTGGTGTTTTGCCATGGAGTAGTGTTGGGCAGACTGGGGGAGGGGATGGTATGCTGGTGGTGGTGATATTTTCTCTTTCACACCTGGTTACACAACCTGTTACATCACACTCCTGACAGGTCCCAGACAACATCTAACCTTCAGTGTCATCTGAATGCTGATACACTGAGGGTGGTGGTGGTATGCTGGGGTAGTAGTGGTTTGCTGGAGGAGTGGTATACTGGGGTGGGTGGTATGCGGGTGGTAGTTGTATGCTGGGATGGGCGGTATGCTGGGGTAGTATTGGTATGCTGGGGGTCATGGTATGCTTGGGTGGGTGGTATTCTGGGGTAGGTGGTATGTTGTGGGTAGTGGTATGCTGGGGTGGGTTGTATGCTTGGGTGGGATGCTGGGATGGGTTGTGTGCTGGGGTGGGTGGTAGTGGTTGGGTGGGGTGGGGTGGTAATGGTATGCTAGAATGGGTGGTATTCTGGGGTGGGTGGTATGTTGGGGGCCGTGGAATGCTGGGATGGGGGGTATGCTAGGGTAGTGGTGTGCTGGGGTGGGTGGTATTCTGGGGTGGTGGTATGCTGGGGGTGGTGGTATGCTGGGCTGGTAGTGGTATGGTGAGGTGGGTGGTATGGTGGGGTGGGTGGTATGGTGGGGTGAAAGTGGTATTTTATTTTTACTTTGCCATGGAAACAATTTTCAACCTTTTCTCAAACAAGTGTTGGGTTCGTTTCCGAGCCATGACTTGAAAACCATTCAACATGTTTCAGTGAAACTTGGCATATGCATTGCTCATCTTTTTAACTGGTGCCTTTTGCTGTTTTGAAACCTTTCTAACCTTTTTTTTGTTATATTTCCTTGGATACGAGTTGGTCTCAAACAACTCAAAGGGTTGTTTTCTAAGCCATAACTCTCAAACTAATAAATATTATTGCATGAAACTATACATGTGCAATGACCATACGCTCAACTATTGCTGTTTCATAATTTGCAATTTTTAGTTTCTTTTGTATTTGGAAACATGGAAACAATTTGGACTTTGGACCCTCAAACAAGTAATCTCCTGCCAAATCTCTACAGCTAATGGATTTTTCTTCATGAAACCATTATCATTCCAGTCTATGATTTGACATTATTGTTTTTTTTATTTGTAAACACATTTACAATAACAAATTTAACTACTATATCAAAATTAAGGAGAGGGTAGACATATGTTTTTGAATAAAATCACAAGTCTAGTTGGTCAGGTATGAGACTTACACCATTGTTACATAGGCGAATATAGGGTCACGTAGTGGACATGCTGCAGGTGTGGAGGCTGGACTAGGACAATATCATCCACTGAGAAGTAATTGATTTCCCGGCAATAATAATATCATTTTATTTACAACTTTCTTACCTTTTACCTGTTGTCATCTCTCGGGGTAGAATAGGTCTTCAGCAACCCATGCTTGCCGTAAAAGGCAACTATGCTTGTCGTAAAAGGCGACTAACGGGACCGGGTGGTCAGACTCGCTGACTTGGTTGATGCATGTCATTGGTCCCAATTGCGTGGATCGATGCACATGATGTCAATCACTGGATTGTCTGGTCCAGACTCGATTATTTACAGACCGCCGTCATATAGCTGGAATATTGCTGAGTGCGGCATAAAACAACAAACAACAAACAAACAAAACATCTCTGATGTTCACGATACATTGATAATTTACATTCATCATCGCTATGTGGACTTTTACAGCCTGTGGAATCTGTTTCGGCAGATAATGGACTTATAATTCTCTGGTGTTGACATATATTTGATCCTAACATGCTGAGGATTTCATTGCGTCAGGGGCCACTTTTGTGATACATGCCATCACAATATACACATTAATCATATAGTTCCCAGCCCCCAAGCTAACAAGTTTTTTTAACAGAACCCATCCTCATCCCTGTTTACTCAACAGATATATGTTTCAGGTTTTGGGGGGAGCTGCTTCCAGAAAGACGTCCTGAACCTGGTGTATCTCTGTGAGTGCCTCAACCTGCCTGAGGTGGCCGACTATTGGCAGCAGGTGGGGGAACTTTCCTGCTTACTTCACATCAGAGCTATTTAAATTCAAACTAAGTCATCTGTCATTTGATTTATACATAGTGACTAAGCAGAGATTGTTTCTACAGCGTTGTGGTGACCTGGTCCTGCATAAAACTGTCTTTGCGCTGAGAAGATCGTAACTTACATCGACTTACAATAATTGTAGATCTGTCGTGTGTCCTGTCCTCAGTGCTCTGTGTTTTGTCCTCAGTGCTCTGTGTTTTGTCCTCAGTGCTCTGTCCTCTGTCCTCAGTGCTCTGTCCTCAGTGCTCTCTCCACAGTCCTCAGTGCTCTGTCCGCAGTGCTCTCTCCACGGTCCTCAGTGCTCTGTCCGCAGTGCTCTCTCCACAGTCCTCAGTGCTCTGTCCTCAGTGCTCTCTCCACAGTCCTCAGTGCTCTGTCCGCAGTGCTCTCTCCACAGTCCTCAGTGCTCTGTCCGCAGTGCTCTCTCCACAGTCCTCAGTGCTCTGTCCGCAGTGCTCTCTCCACAGTCCTCAGTGCTCTGTCCGCAGTGCTCTCTCCACAGTCCTCAGTGCTCTGTCCGCAGTGCTCTCTCCACAGTCCTCAGTGCTCTGTTCTGTCCTCAGTGCTCTGTTCTGTCCTCAGTGCTCTGTCCTCTGTACCCTGTCCTCAGTTCTCAGTGTTTCTCTCTCAAGGTCATTTAGCATGTTTCATCAACTTCCAGGTTATCAACATCAACGACTTCCAGAGACGAAGATTTGCCAACAGGGTTATAGAATGCCTCTTCAACACAATCACAGGCAAAAACATTGCAATCCTCGGCTTTGCCTTCAAGAAGGACACAGGGGATACAAGGTGATGTCTTGAACTTGGATTCAGCTTTCCATGAATAGTCCCACCAATGTTAATAGCATATTGTCTAGTAAGACTTCTCAGCAAACATCACAATAAATATTGATTATATACCACTCAAAAGAAGTTCAAGAACACTTGATTCTTTCATATTACTATAGTTAATCTGTCACGGCATGACATGAAATATAGTAATATGAAAGAATAATAAGACAGGTTAATTATAGTAATGTGAAAGAATCAGGTGTTCTTTAACTTCTTTTGAGTAGTATATATTGTTTTGAGCTCCGTATGACCACGATTAAGTGAGATTATTGTCTGGTTCATTGTCAGTCTGTCAACTATCTCCATATCAGCCATTTTTAACCTGCTTCCTCTTTGATCAAATGACAAGATGAACCTGTAGGACGACCACTTGAATGTACAATAATACCTTGTGAATGTGAATCACCAGTATCAGTACCTCGTCTATATCACAGTGAATGCATCAGCTACTTGAGTTGTCTCCCTTGAGTTGTCTCCCCTTGTCAACATCATGTCCCATTGATGTTTCACAGAGAGTCTGCAGCAATCTATCTGTGCAAGTACTTAATGGAAGAGGGAGCCAAACTACGGATATACGACCCTCAGGTTAAACACACACAAATTATCAGGTGAGAATCTTTTGCAGTTGTACCTGGTTACCATGGTTATAACAAAAAGAGACCCGAGAAGGTCTGGGCCCACTTGCACAAAGCGATCTTAGCGCTAAGATGATTGTAACTCCCATACTTTAACATAGGCTTACAATAGTTGTAGTGCTAAGATCGCTTTGTGCAAGTGGGCCCTGGTCTTCAGCAACCCATGCTTGCCGTAAAAGGTGACTATGCTTGTCGTAAGAAGCGACTAACTGGATTGGGTCGTCAGGCTTGCTGACTTGGTTGATGCATGTCATATAGCTGGAATATTGTTGAGTGTGGCTCTAAACAACAAACAAACAAAATATAACAAAAAGATAAAATGAACTGTCCAGTGTATTTTGGTTGAAAATTAGTTCCCATGACTCACCCTTGAGTTTCTTGTTTCTTGTTTCTAGTGAATTAACAGAACCATCTCTGTCTCAAGACCCAGACACAGGTAGGGACGATGCCTTCAGTACAGAGATAATGACATTTCATATACACCTGTCATAGATGGTCAACAAGACTGATTCAGCTTCTCCACAAAATGTCAATGAAGACAGGGATGACTTATGAATTTCAACATTAATGCTACATAAAATGTCAGATTTGTTTTATCAAAGAGAGAGGGGCGGTCGGGTAGCCTTGTGGTTAAAGGCATTCACTCGTCCTGCCGAAGACCCTGGTTCAATTCCCGACATGGGTACAATGTGTGAAGCCCAATTCTGGTGTCCCCCGCTGTGATATTGCTGGAATATTGCCTAAAGCAGCATAAAGCCATACTCACTCACTCACTCACTCAAAGAGAAGAGGCACAAATGGCCATGCCTTCTATTGTGCCGCACATTTTCTTTGCAGAGCTGCTTCTCTTAATTGTTCCATGATTATGGGTTCGAGCCCCACAGTTGCATTCAGATGGATCATGGTTTATGAGAATCCGCACCATGCCAACAACCAAGGGTTTCACCAAAGTGGTAAATGTCTGAGACTTGCATTTCTCCCAAGCTGGTCGGCCATGACGTGGCTGAAGTACAGTTCAAAGCAGTGTTAAACTCACTCATCAAGGAGAAGTTCTTTTTCTCACTTACTGTCCAAGACATGTTTTCAAAAAGTAATTGTATGTATTTTCTATGTTCCAGTGTCGGAGTTGGTGTCCATCCACCCTGACCCCTACACTGCTTGTGATAGCTGTCACGCACTAGTCATATGTACCGAGTGGGACGAGTTCAAGGTGAGGACAGTTGCTCCTTTTCTTGTTGAGCTATACAGCAAGCCATGTGGTAACTGTTATATTGCTGACTGCAAGCCATGTGGTAACTGCTATATTGCTGACTGCAGGCCGTGATATAACTGTTATGTTGCTGACTGCATGCCATGATATAACTGCTATATTGCTGACTGCAGGCCGTGATATAACTGTTATGTTGCTGACTGCATGCCATGGTATAACTGCTATTTTGCTGACTGCAGGCCGTGATATAACTGTTATGTTGCTGACTGCATGCCATGATATAACTGCTATATTGCTGACTGCAGGCCGTGATATAACTGTTATGTTGCTGACTGCAGGCCATGATATAACTGCTATTTTGCTGACTGCATGCCATGGTATAACTACTGTGTTGCTGACTGCAGGCCATGATATAACTGCTATGTTGCTGACTGCAGGCCACTGTTTCATTGTTATGTTGTTGACTGGAGGCCGTGATATAACTGTTATATTGCTGACTGCAGGCTGCGATATAACTGTTATGTTGCTGACTGCAGGCAGTGATATAACTGTTATGTTGTTGACTGCAGGCCGTGATATAACTGCTATATTGCTGACTGCAGGCAGTGATATAACTGTTTGTTGCTGACAGCAGGCCGTGATATAACTGTTATATTGCTGACGGCAGGCAGTGATATAACTGCTATGTTGCTTACTGCAGGCAGTGATATAACTGTTTGTTGCTGACGGCAGGCCGTGATATAATTGTTATGTTGCTGACGGCAGGCAGTGATATAACTGCTATGTTGCTGACTGCAGGCAGTGATATAACTGCTATGTTGCTGACTGCAGGCCATGATATAACTGCCATGTTGCTGACTTCAGGCCATGATATAACTGTTTTAGTGCTGACTGCAGGCAGTAATATAACTGTTTTGTTGCTGACTGCAGGCAGTGATATAACTGTTATATTGCTGACTGCAGGCTGTGATTTAACTGTTGCATTGCTGACTGCAGACCGCTGTTTATTGTTATTTTGCTGACTGCAGGCTGCTATTTAATTATTATGGTGCTGACTGCAGGCTATGATATAAGTGTTGCATTGCTGACTGCAGGCAGTGATATGACTGTTATATTGCTGACTTCAGGCCGTGATATAACTGTTATATTGCTGATTGCAGGCCGTGATATAACTCTTGCATCGCTGGCTTCAGGCTGTGATATAACTGTTGCATTGCTGATTGCAGGCCGTGATATAACTGTTATGTGGCTGACTGCAGTGTAAGATTGGTATTGTCTGAAACTCACTGACTGTTGATATCCCTGTTCCAGCACCTGGACTACCAACAGATCTACAAGAAGATGCTGAAGCCAGCGTTTGTGTTTGATGGGCGAATGATCGTCAATCACCAAGCCCTCATTGACATTGGTTTCCATGTGGAGACGATAGGCAAAAGACTCACTCGCAAAAACATCAATCGCCAAGTGGCTCCTGCTGCTCAGTAGGCCGGACCAACAGCATCTCCGTCCAGAACAGTCCCAGAACAGTCCCAGAATAGTCCCAGTTGGAAACAGCCCACCATGTTTCTGGCAAACTTTGTGTGGATATTTGTTTACCCCATAGTTTTCTATATCACTTACAACATTAAAAAAGGCACTCAGCTCAGATTTGCAGCCTGATGAGTTTGAATCAACTCATTCAAAATCTACATTCTATCTGCATTCTGATTGGATCCTCAGCTTTTCTCTGTTGGACCTTGATTTTGCGGACGACTGTATTACCATGAAAGAAAATATTTATTAAAACCCACCCGTTCAGCAATGTTGCTAAATAACAGGATGTTGTTCCTTCGTTATTTACTGCAACTGTGGTAAAATATTTCTAGTCAAAAAGTTGACAAACACATATTGAGAGAGTGTATTGCAAATACTTCGAGAGTGACTTTTGGCAATACACCATCACAAACTGTGATATTATCTCTACTGCGTCACAGTGCTTTGGCTTCCTATCCGTAGAACTTTATGACGTCATAATAATGGATGTCAGTGTCAATAATGCTTGCAGGATATCTCCTGTATGATTTTATGGTGTCTCAGTGACGTGGTTCTACTGATACCTGAATTCACCCTTTCAACCTACTGAAAATATTAAGCTCAGCCGACACCGCACCACCTCTCATTTCCACTGTAACCAAAGAGTTTGTGTTTCTTTGTCATTGTCATGGTAGAATGGAGATAAACCAACTGTGTTTTCAAGTTAGAGGTTTCGCAGTTCGATTTGATACCTTTAAATTTTTCAAATTTGAAACCTCTCGTAATCGTGTTCAGTTTCTAATGAAATTTTTCAGGAATGAATCTATGCTTGAAATTCGATTTCATACCTTTAATTTTTTTTAATTTGACACCTCTAGTTATTGTGTTCAGTTTCTAATGAAACTTTACAGGAATTGAATCTATGCTTGAAATTCAATTTGATACCTTTACGTTTTTCCAAATTTGAAACCTCTAGTTATCGTGTTCAGTTTCTAAGGAAATTTTACAGGAATTGAATCTATGCTTGAAATTCAATTTGATACCTTTAATTTTTTCAAATTTGAAACCTCTAGTTTTCGTGTTCAGTTTCTAATGAAAATTTACATGAATTGAATGTCTGTTTGACACCTCAACAAGTAGGTTCATCTCCTAATTGTATCCCCGTAACTTTGGTAGATGAACCTGGTCTGTGGGTGGCACATGGTCCTGTGTACAGCGCACTGGTCACAAGTCAGTGAACTTGGTCGTGGAGAGTCGTTGGAGGGGTGACCATGTTTAGCAGTTAGACTCCCGATAGTTTCTAGGGCTTCGGTCCTGACCTACACTCAAGCACATGTGGTGTCTCCTTAGGAAAGTGACTTTGTTCGAAATATGTCTCATATAATATGACCCAGTAGGATCAGATGGTGCTGGACTGTATGCTCCACAGGGAGCAGAGAATGAAAATCAAGTGCACTGATTGATTGACCAGGGTAATAATGTAGCACTTTCAGCTTGCTTTAGGCAGTGGATTTGACGTATTTCACATAGGGACATTATTGTTATTATTTTTATTATTATTATTAAGGAGGACCATGTTCTGTGGTTTGGAGCGCAGTCTAGATCTAGACATTGTAAACAGTGTCCGATGTGCACTTTATTTGATGAATATTATCCAAACCGATTACTTTTACAGATGTGGTTCTTTGTACATTACGGCTGCCAAGTCGTGACCAGTATTCAGGGTGCTTCGGGGATAGTTTGTGTCTCTCGCACCCATCTCATCTCACCTATCCCCAACAGTTCTGACTCTTTCTTAGTATTTAAAGGGGGCATACGTGATGCCTCGTCGTAGGCTATACAATTCTGAGTGCAGAGTTGCTTCCCTTAGTTTTGCAAGGATCTGCTGATTGTTGGTGCATATCTAAGATTTTCCTTAATTTCCCATCATCTAAGGCCTCAAAACTTTCTGTGCAGAGTTACTTCCGTTAGCTTTGCAAGGTTCTGCTGATTATTGGTCCATATCTTGATTCATGATTCTTAGTCTTGCAGCACTACACTCATGCTTGTAGATCTCGGCAAAGTGGTAAAGATCTACAACTACATCACATCAGATGTTCCTCCCTCATCAAGCTGAAAGGCTGGAATCAAACTGGTTTGACTGTCCTTTCATGGGTGATGAATGAGAGAAAAAAAATTCAAAAATGTATCCGATAATTCACCTAAATGACAACTAATCGATTATAATCCCTGTCCACTGCAACACCTGTTAAAGAGAACAAATCTCACCTAACAGAAGGGAATACTTGTTAAGTAAACACAGTAAATAGCCCACATGTATGACTTGTGTTTTTTTTTCCTAGGCTAAATTAACTCACCCACTTAATTCTATGTAAAAAAGATACTTCAGTCACACAAAGTTTTTTTGCTTTTTGTTTGACCTACCAACGCTCTTTTGTTACATCAATGTTAACTGTAAAACAAAATAGTGTGGCCTTGAAATATGTAGACTCTTATAGTCTTCGTCTTCCTGTTGTCTTCCTTTTGGTGCATGGTTATGTCAACATTGCCTTACTCTGAACGCTATCTTGTCAATGCTGAAAAGAGTATACAGCTAACATCACTATATGAGCCATCTTAATGACAGGGGGCACGGGTGGCCCAGTCGCTTAAGGCGCCGCGATTCGCTGTGCAGAGTTTCATCCCTTGGGCACACCAGAAACCTATGATTGTGGGTTGGAATCCCGGTTCCCCCCAATTATGTTTCTAGGTTTATCAGCACCATACCCGTGCTCGTGGGTTTCACCGAAGTGGTAAACGTCTGAGACTCGCATCACTTCGGGCTTTCCTCCCACATTAAGCTGACACGCCGTGATATAACTGGAATACTGTTAAAAGCGGCGTTAAACCCAACTCACTCACTCACTCACTCTTAATGACAGACTGCAGTTTCCACTGATGCAAAATATATACTACTCAAAAGAAGTTAAAGAACACCTGATTCTTTCGTATTACTGTACTTTATCTGTCATGGCATGGGTGTTCTTTATCTTCTTTTGAGTTGTATATATTTCCTTTTTTTCGCCGATAATTGTTTACAAAGGGGGAACTCGAGTGCTCCAGTGGCTTGTTCCAGTTAAACATTGCTATGTGGAGAGTTGCTTCCCTTGAGTTTGAATCTTAGTTATGCTCCAAGGTTGTCATGGGTTTTATCAGCTTTAAACATAACTTGATCACGTATGTTGACATACTTCCTCTTCATGCTACATCCTGTATACATCTATTTGTGTAACATATGTCCATGTTTTCACACTTTGGCCTGAAAATCTTTCGGTCAGAACAGCTCATTCAGCAGTAATGATGACAATCACTTGTTACCAGATCCAAACTTCATGTCTTCGAAAGGTCTTTGCTTTTTCTGTTGATTGTTAATAGGCATTGTTACCACAGTGAAATGAATGGCATCCTGCCCTTGCGTCCTACTACAGTGGCATGAGAATGTGCGTGTGCATGGTTTACTGCTGATACAGGGCATTATATCACAAGTTACATGTGTCAGTGCTTGGTCTTGTACACCTCAATACTGAGGGTCCAGGGGTGTATTTGAACATGCATGGTGTAGTACACATACTGAGGGTCCAGGGGTGTATTTGAACATGCTTGGTCTTGAACACCTCAATACTGAGGGTCCAGGGGTGTATTTGAACATGCATGATGTAGTACACCTCAATACTGAGGGTCCAGGGGTGCATTTGAACATGCATTGTGTCGTACTGTACTCCTCAATACTGAGGGTCCAGTGGTGTATTTGAACATGCATGGTCTAGTACACCTCAATACTGAGGTTCCAGGGGTGTATTTGAACATGCATGGTGTAGTACACCTCAATACTGAGGGTCCAGGGGTGTATTTGAACATGCATGGTGTAGTACACCTCAATACTGAGGGTCCAGGGGTGCATTTGAACATGCATTGTGTCGTACTGTACTCCTCAATACTGAGGTTCCAGGGGTGTATTTGAACATGCATGGTGTAGTACACCTCAATACTGAGGGTCCAGGGGTGTATTTGAACATGCATGGTGTAGTACACCTCAATACTGAGGGTCCAGGGGTGTATTTGAACATGCATGGTGTAGTACACCTCAATACTGAGGGTCCAGGGGTGTATTTGAACATGCATGGTGTAGTACACCTCAATACTGAGGGTCCAGGGGTGCATTTGAACATGCATTGTGTCGTACTGTACTCCTCAATACTGAGGGTCCAGGGGTGTATTTGAACATGCATGGTGTAGTACACCTCAATACTGAGGGTCCAGGGGTGTATTTGAACATGCATGGTGTAGTACACCTCAATACTGAGGGTCCAGGGTGTATTTGAACATGCATGGTGTAGTACTCTACTCCTCAATACTGAGGGTCCAGGGGTGTATTTGAACATGCATGGTCTAGTACACCTCAATACTGAGGGTCCAGGGGTGTATTTGAACATGCATGGTGTAGTACTCCTTAATACTGAGGTTCCAGGGGTGTATTTGAACATGCATGGTGTAGTACTGTACTCCTCAATACTGAGGGTCCAGAGGGGTACTTGAATGTGCATGGTCTTGTACACCTCAATATTGAGGGTCCAGGGGTGTACTCGAACATGTATGGTCTAGTATACCTCATTACTCTAGGGTCCAGGGGTGTACTCAAACATGCATGTTAAGTGTTTATTGGGCTGACGTTGTTTTATGCTTTACACATTTTTATATGTCACTGTACAAAAAACAGATTTCTGTTTTCATGAGGCAAAATATGATGTAAAAATATTCTGCCTCCCAACAGTTGACCAGAAGGAATTTGAAAATCCCAAACAAACAGGGAGTCGCACTGTAGATGCAAATTAGTTGCCACTTTCTCTTTGTGAGTAATGACTTTGGGAATTTGGTGTTGATATTTAGCAATGTCATTATGGTGCATTGTAGGACTATTATATTATATTGTAAGTCCTGCATGCATCTGTGGGGTTTCAAGGATGTGTTTATATGCATGTTGGATGTTTGGGAAGGTGCAGTATGTTTCCTGGTTTCTGTTGTGATGGCAGGGTTATTGATTCTGTTATTTGAGCAGGCGCTTGATTCACGAGTAATCTGTTTACTTATTGAAATGAAATTTATGTTTTGTTTACCCTTTGGTAAAACACACTCCTTGTACAGGATAAGTGACAGACAGTGACAGAAGTAGACACTATCTGACTGTCTTTGGACACTGACGGTGACACATGAATAGACACAGACATTGTCACATCCTTGGGCACATACTTTGACACATCTTTGCACACAGACAGACACATTCTTGGACACAGAAACATCCTTGGACACAGACAGGCACATCCTTGAACACAGACAGACACATCCTTGGACACAGACACATCCGTGGACACAGACATAAACACATCCTTGGACATAGACACATCCTTCGACACAGACTCATCCTTTGACACAGACAGGCACATCCTTGGACACATACATAAACACATCCTTGGACACAGACACATCCTTGGACACAGACAGACACATCCTTGGACACAGACAGACACATCCTTGGACACAGACAGACACATCCTTGGACACAGACAGACACATCCTTGGACACAGACAGACACATCCTTGCACACAGACACATCCTTCGACACAGACAGACACATCCTTGGACACAGACAGACACATCCTTGCACATAGACAGACACATCCTTGCACACAGACACATCCTTGGACACAGACAGGCACATCCTTGGACACAGACAGACACATCCTTCGACACAGACAGGCACATCCTTGGACACAGACAGGCACATCCTTGGACACAGACAGACACATCCTTGGACACAGACAGACACATCCTTGCACACAGACACATCCTTCGACACAGACAGTGAAAGAGTATGTTTACTCCTAAATTGTAAGCAGACAATCTTGACAATCTAAACCCCTCAAAAAAAAGTTAAAGAACACCCAAAGTTTTCATATGACTTTAGTTAATATGCCATGGCCATGACAGATTAACTTTAGTATTTTGAAAAAAATGGGTGTTCTTTAACTTCTTTTGAGTAGTATAATGAGTATTTTACACGATAAGCAACACAACCAGTTGTCAAGCTGTGTCCACACAAAGGACATCATACACGTTGCTGAAATAGTCTGTCTTTTATTACCAGTTATTACCATACTCTGTATATACTGCAGGGGTTGACAATCAGGCTGGTCCACTTTACCTCTGGGAGTAGACATTAAGCAGGACCAGTATTACTCATTAATAAATATAGATGTTCCAAATAGTTACTGAAAAGTCCTGAAATAACTCATACTTTGCTGTTGGGTAGACATTCTAGTTTTTAATCCACCAGGGTACGTAATCTATGTTACACAAGGTTTAAGTTGATAACTGCATCACAGCTTCAGAAAGATGTTTTTTAAACACCTGACTAATAAGGTGTTTTATTAAAAAGGTGGCATTATATTTCCCAGAACACCAGGCAAATGATGTCTCATGGCGATACGATCAAAGACTTGCATCAAATGGCGCTGACATTGCATCAAAAATTTAAATCTGTTTGTTTGTTCTTTGTTAACGTCTATTAAGTCACTCAAATAATTCTTATATCTTTAAAACTATCATTTGATGACATTTGTGCCAAGATTTTAGAAAATTAAGAACATGTCACAATTTGCTAATTCTTTGTAATTCTAACTTCTTTGCGACCAATGAATATAGGTTGGGTTGAAATATTTTTATACATTATGTAATTATGTACAGACAGTGCTTCTCCGTAGTGCTAATTTATACCACTCCACTTTTGATAGGGGTAATTTTTATCTCTCCATGACTGACAAAACTAATCCTCATGATATGTCAAGTATATTTACCGTATTCGACGTAATAAGCGCCCAGGGCGCTCTCAAAATTAGAAATAGGGGGCTCTTATTAGAATATAATTTTGGTGAGAAAAAAAAGAGTGAAAAAATCGTAAATTTCGTGGTTTATGCTGACAGCCTGAAATGATACAGAAGGAAAGTCGTATTATACACAACATATATATTTTCCAGAATTTAATTGCCCATAATTAAGGGTGCATATAACACACGAGTGCATATTATACACGAATAAATACGTCTTGTTTACATTGATCAATCGGAAGGGGTGCTAATTGGGATTGTTCACTAGCCAATATATTAGCAAATATCGCCGTGGGCGCTTATTACGTCCAATACGGTAAATATATTTGATGTTACTGATTATCTCTATCAAGAGTTGAGTAGTATATATCACTGGGTCATGCAAACAACTGGGGTTCTTTTAGTTAGTGTGTATGTGATTGGTTGTTGGAGGTATCACAGTGTTTATCAAATGAAGTCATTGGAAATAAATACTACTCAAAACAAGCTAAAGAACACCCCAATGTGAAGTCAGTGTGTTGCAATACCCACCTGCCATGACAGATTAACTAGAGTCATGTGAAGAAAATTGGTGCTCTTTAACTTCTTTTGAGCAGTATATACCGATACATTGTGAAATGCAATGTTCATGTCTCAATTTATCGTGAAATGCAATGTTCATGTTTCAGTATATTGTGAAATGCAATGTTCATGTTTCAGTAGATTGTGAAATGCAATGTTCATGTTTCAGTATATTGTGAAATGCAATGTTCATGTTACAGTATATTGCGAAATGCAATGTTCATGTTTCAGTACATTGTGAAATGCAATGTTCATGTTTCAGTATATTGTGAAATGCAATGTTCATGTTTCAGTATATTGTGAAATGCAATGTTCATGTTTCAGTATATTGTTAAATGCAATGTTCATGTTTCAGTGTATTGTGAAATGCAATGTTCATGTTTCAGTATATTGTGAAATGCAATGTTCATGTTACAGTATATTGCGAAATGCAATGTTCATGTTTCAGTACATTGTGAAATGCAATGTTCATGTTTCAGTATATTGTGAAATGCAATGTTCATGTTTCAGTGTATTGTGAAATGCAATGTTCATGTTTCAGTATATTGTGAAATGCAATGTTCATGTTTCAGTGTATTGTGAAATGCATTGTTCATGTTTCAGTATATTGTGAAATGCATCGTTCATGTTTCAGGATATTGTGAAATGCAATGTTCATGTTTCAGTTTATTGTGAAATGCAATGTTCATGTTTCAGTATATATTTTTATTTGTATCGTATTCATATGTAGAATGTTTCAGGTAGAGAAAACAAGCAATGAAAAGTGTTTGATTTTTGTATGCAGGTATTAGCACGAGAGTTTGAGTTATTTTGTTAATGTGTCCGTGGCGGAGTCATAAGACTCCATTCTCTGTATTATTTCCTGAAGTCAGCCTCATTCCTGTTTGACTAAAATCGTTTTTTTCTTTGAAATTATTTGTAAACTGCAAAGCATTTTTATGGTTTCAGTATTTTGTAGACGCTACCACCATGGAATTATTAGTATAATGCAGATGCCAGTGTTTAAAATAAGGAGGAAATTCAGGGATGTACATGTCATGTGTGAACAAACATCGAAACAACAACGATAATAATTGAGGGTCTTACTATGTTCAAAGCTACTTACAACATGCCTGACTGTTTTTATGTTAAAAGTTAGTGTGGGTAATACATCTGAATATGGATTTAGGGTAACATATAAATTGTGGAGTAATATAACTAAACCGAATTATGTTACGAGGGATCCATAACCCTATGTTAAAAACCAGAGATGAAATGGGTTCTTAGATTTAAATATATACTACTCAAAAACAGTTAAGGGCCACCCGATTCTTTCATATTACTATACTTAATCTGTCATGCTGCCTTAACTGTTTTTGAGCACAGTATAGCAGAACACCCTAGGGTCCCTCTTATATCATTTTAGAAGATCACCACAAATGTATTTGTTAGCATGTGTTCAAAGTAGTATCATTTTGAGATATATTTTACACTCAACTTGTACATGTGTTATTAAGATTTTTACATATGTTTTCTTGCCTTTGTAATCTTTTGCAAGTACCTGGTATTTGCTGCGGGGCAGTTTTTAGGGTTTATTAACATGTCACTGTTGACAGCGGGAGATATGTTGTTCATATTGAGGATATTAAATAATTTGTAATACTTTTGTGATTTGTTGTTATTTGGAATACAGAGAAGCAGAGCTCCAGATAAGCTTTTGGTGATGTGGGTATTTTTACCCATGCATTTTAAAATCATTGGGTATCAGTAATTCTATCTGGGTATTCAAATTTCTGTTACCCACTAGTTTTTACACATGTGGGTATATAAGTTATATATTTATAAACACTATTCATCTAGTCCCTGCAAACTGGTGTCGTGTGGGTTCGAGAGCTTTACAGGACTAAAAAATACCAGGATACTTCCACAAGAAAGTGTGGTGGCAAATGATCATGATGTAACTGTCATCGTGGAGTTTGGCAAGGTTGACGGAATGTCCGTGTATATTTTCAAAGTAAGTTGCTGATTTGCTAATCGAATATGCAGGGTTACTTCACAATATTTTGATGATACGCACAAGTTTTATTTTTGTAGCGAATCTGTAATGTTCGTTGCGTAATTGATACGCTTGGATTTTATTTTACATCATATTTCTGCATTTTTTATGCGTATTTTACGCAGATACGCAGCTTATCTGGAGCTCTGGAGAAGCAATTTCAATATTATTTCGAGGGTTTGGCATTACTGCTAGTCTAATAGTTAAAGACTAGTGAAGGTTTAATCGTGAGTAGATTTACTTTTTGTTGGGTTATGATTGTAGGAGTTCTAAGCATCCATGATCCATGCATGCAAATAGCACTCCACAAATGTACACATTATCTGCAGCTCTAAAACAAGCGTTTCATCTAATGGACATGAAGTAAGGTTGTGTATGTTCCTTCATATCGCAAGCGGTAAAGGACCCGCCAGCAATTAGACCTGTTTCACTCCTTGAAATATGTTGGCAAAGTCACCAAAGAGGCAGTAAAATCATCTGTAAAATATTTTCAGCATTGAAACACCAGAATTAGAACAACTTTTGGGAGACCATATCCCACACCAACATGATATATGCATGTAACATTATTCTCCTTAACATCTTTCTTAACATCCACAACACCCTCAACATGTTCCTTAACTTCCTTAACATCAACATCCTCTTCAATATACTCTTCAAAGCCCTCCTTAATGTCCTCAACATCCCCCTTAAGAACCTTCTCAACATGCGTAATCCACACCCACCTCAACATTCTCTTAAACATCCTCAAAGTCCACCTCAACATTCTCTTCAACATCCTCCTTAACATCCTCAGCATTCTCCTTAATGCCCCAAACATCTCAATATCCTCACGAACATCGACCTCCATATCATCATCATCATCCTCCTCCTTACCATCCTCATTTCATCCTTAATGTCCTCAAAATCCATCTTAACATCCTCAACATCCTCCTTAACATCCTCCTGAACATCCTCAACATCCTCCTTAACATCCTCAACATCCTCCTTAACATCCTTAACATCCTCCTCAACATCCTCCTTAACATCCACAACATCCACCTCAACATCCTTAATTTTCTCAAAATCCACCTCAACATCCTCATTAACATCCTCAACATCCTCCTCAAAATCCACCTCAACATCCTCCTTAACATCCTCAACATCCTTAATGTCCTCAAAATCCTCCTTAACATCCACCTTAACATCCTTAATGTCCTCAAAATCCACCTCAACATCCCCTAAACATCCTCTTTCAAATATCAGCATGCTCCTTTATGTCCTCAACATCATCCTCAGCATCATCAACATCCTCCTTAACATCCTCAACATCCACCTCAACATTCTCTCCAACATCCTCTGTAACATCCATCTCAACATCCAAAATATCTCAGCATTCTCCTTATTGTTCTCAACATCCTCATCAACATACTTCTCAACATCCTCCTTAACATCCTACCTGCATCCTCTGTACCGAAGATGGCACTGATGGGCTGTTCGCGCACACTGCTGTACCAAGGCTCGAACCCGGGACTGTTCATTCGGGCGATGTGGAGCAAGTGGCAGGAAGAAGGAGGGTTCGATCATATCTTTATTATCAATGAAATAAAAGCTACATGGGGCGGCTCATTCATCTAAGGCACCGCAATACGCTATACAGAATTAGAAGTGCCAGAAACATGCGATCGTCTATGAGACCTGTATCATTTCTGGCTTTCATGCCACATCAGACGGCCTCCGTGGTCTAGTGGTAGAGTGTCCGCCCGGAGAGCGGAAGGTCGGAGGTTCGATCCCCGGCCGCCTCATACCAAAAGACGTTAAAGGTACTTGTTGTTACCCTGCCTCAGTTTCTCGGCATTAAGGTGCTAAATCAAGGACTGGTCGGACTACACACACACACACACACACACACACACACACACACACACACACACACACACGATTCGAATCTTATTAAGTTTTTTAGGAAGCCACAAAGTAGGTTACTGCTTTCAGCAAACACATAATTGTTAAACGTGAAAAAGCGTGAAAATGCTATATTCATGATTTATACATCATAAAAAATGACATTTCATACAAAGGGTAATTTGATAACAGCTTGTGGGAATTTCCTAAATAAAATCACCGACACGAAACCATTTACCCTTTGGTGTCCCCTAAAAATCAAAATTGTTTGAGATTGTTTGAACAAGAAACCATGTTGGGGATTACACGGAGCTCCAGGCCCTTGTGAAGCGACATGGCATCGCTCGGTAGCTGATCTTCCAATATCATGGGCTTTGTGAGGAATTTACTGTTTTTTTGGCGTATCATGTTTTGCTGCCGTTCTGTAATCTTATGTGTTGATCCCTACATTGAAGCGCAATCGATTCCGACAGAACTGAATTATGAAATTAGTAAATGACCACTCAAGATGAAAGAAAAATCAATATAAGCTACATTTAAACAATTTCAGGTTTACAGTCAGAACGACAATACAGTGCATCCAATAGGTCGAAGCATCAATAATTAACAGGCCCTAAAATGAGAGATCAGTGCATTCACGTATGTCCCGTGTATCTTCACTGTTTAAGGTCCATTAAATAGAGGGAGGTATGGCCAAAACGGCATCAAACGTCAAGACGGCAACAAAAATTCAAAATGGCCATGATAATACTTATAATGGTGACTTTAATGCACTTTAGAGTATATTACATCTCTACAAAGGTTACAATGACAGCATTTGATGGAAGTGAATACTTAAATGTTTCTCTTCCGTTTGTTGTGATACTTGTGTTGGTACCTGTGGTGCTGGTTGTAGTGATGGCAGAATTTTGCTGTTGCTAATTTGCTGCTGCTGCGGTAGATTACTGTTTACTTGCTGCTGCTGCTGCTGCTGGAAAAATCTATTTATAAGTGATCCAGAACTCTCTTTTCTTCTTCATCCCATCTCAACAATTTACTTTGATCTCTGTACTGACCAGTGTACCACAATTGAAAACATTAATGAACTTTGACGCTTGTATTTATCTGACACTATAATTGAATTTGTTGTCTTAATGTTCTGTGTGGCCGTTTTGACTTTTTGTGTGTAATTTAACCTTTGAGGCCGTTCTGAGGGCGTCTTGACCCGCTCTCAAATAGAGGAACAAAATGGACGTGTTTGATGATGTCAAATGACTTTCAATCGATTTGATAAGAAAAAGACTTCTGAGCTGTCTAATTGTTTTCGTTCGAGCCAATTGCTTTAATGTCCAATTACATTAATCTAAATTATCTTTCTTTGTCTCTCTAATGATTATTCTTTTCTCTTAATTTATCATTCCAATTTCCTTAACTGAAAACGTTGTGATACCTCATCAATTGACAAATCCGAAGCAGGTGGATGCAAATTACCTCACTGACAAAACCCCAACACTATAACCTTCAATAAGAGAGAGAGAGAGAGAGAGAGAGAGAGAGAGAGAGAGAGAGAGAGAGAGAGAGAGAGAGAGAGATGATTAAAACTTTTTTACCAATATTCTTTTAATTGTGGGTCTATGTTCTTTTGACTGCTGCTTTATCAAATCCGCATGAAATTTGACCAAGACATCTGAGAACTTAAACAACGAAGAGATATATCAACGAATTAAACCGATGGTTTCGGAATGTTCAAAGGGAGGTCACTCTCATTTTCGGTCAATGAGTCGGCTGCTTCTGTACCGCTTCTGTGGGAATGGAGATATTTGTTACCTTGCTGTTGATCCTATGGATCTTGTTTGATGTCAACTATTTCATCTACGCCTTATTGACAACTGTTTATGGTTTCATAAAGGGTTTGATATCGCCAATTAAACTGATGGACGAAAGCGTCACTTATGGTAGGTTGCTCGATCGGGTTTGCAGTGAGCAATCACAGCAATATCCCGGGATATAAGATATCATTAGTTCTGTGTCCTTTAGACTTAGAATGTAGACTGATTCTCTTTTCACTTTCACGATGTGCAAATAATTCCATGTAAAAATTATTGTCGTCTTCCCACTAGAAGGGCAAAATACTTATATTACATTTCAAAGGCAATTTGGAACTTGCCTATGTCAGACACAGTGTCCCAAATAAGGGAAGGGCCTTATGTTAGGGCTGGGACGAGTCCAAATTTGCTACCCGGTTACCCACACCCCTATTACCCGACCATGTCCGGTACCCGCTGTTGGTTTCAAGAGATAGGTACAAAATGTCCGATTGGGAATAGTTAACAGTAGCCCGAGCAAAATGCATTTTGAGATACATGTATAAAACGATCTGGTCGTGCATACATGCACTGAAGTTGACTGAAGTTTTACCTTTATTCAAACATATAAAAGTCAGAAGGAATGCGTTCATAGTCATGAAGAAATGCGAACATTAGTGACTTGTGTAACCATGTGGTTATGGTGAAATATTGTCAGGAAACAATATATCACGTGACTAACCAGCTAGGTAGTCCTGTTGGTACCCAGGTCCTACTCAGATTTCAAGCTCCCTTTTGTTGCTGCAATTTCAATCATTCTCTCAGTTGATTGCTAACATGTTTGTTTCCTGCTCAAAATATTTTGCCATACATGCTTTGAACATCATAGTAACTGCAGCTCTATATTTTGTAAGCTTCACTTGTACATGTCATCATTTCAAAATGCCTACAATCAATGAGCAGTGGCAGAAAAAGAAGTACTTTTCTATAAATATTAGCTTAAATGCCGATGCAACCATCAAATCAGCTGTTTCTGACAAATGTTTATTGTGGTATGAAACCTCTAATTGACCAATAAGAATCAAGTATTATAGGGATGGAAATTTGCTTTAACCCACAAACCAGGACCAGTTTCGTTAATGATAAAGGTATCCTAAGGGCTAGAAGAATTACAAACAATTTGGGGTGTATTGCTACATGTGGTCACTATTCTTCTAGATATTCTTAGTTAATTTCTATCCCTGCTGAGTATATGTCCCATGGTAGAGTCTAGCTACTGTGTTCATTGAGTGGGCTATCATAAACTGTCCGACGTGTTGATAAAATTGCTGTTGTATTTGCAGGCCTCTGTATGACGAATGACATGGACTTTCAGTGGCATATGAATAATAGCAAGTATTTAAGAAACTGTGACTTTGCCCGGTTCATCCATGCGACAGAGTCCAACTTATACCAAACTGCCAGATGGCTCGGGGCCTCCATGTACATGTCCGGGAGCAACATCCGCTACCGTAGGTCCCTGCAGTTCCTTGATGTCTACCGCATCCACACCAAGGTAAAATTACAGTTTTTGGTTATATTTTCTAGTGGCCTACACAGTATTTAATTACAGAGTTATCTCCCTTTATATTCACATTGTTTCTTTGATGCATGAGGTTAAATAGTATCCTTTGATTCCAAACATTCTTTGTTGTGTGGGACCCACTCCGTGGTCTACTGGTAGAGCGTCGGCCCGGAGAGCGAAAGGTCGTTAAAAGATGGTACTTGTTGTTACCCTGTCTGGCGCTCGGCATTAAAGGGCTAAAACAAGGACTGGTCAGCTCGGAGTCAGTATACTGTGTCTGAGTGGGGTATTCATGTTAAACTGCGGCATGGTATCTCAATGTGCTAGCACTATAAATCGGCATCAGTCCGGACTAGTACAAGCAGCCACCCACACACGCATACACGTGCATGCACGTCGCTATATAAGTGCAATAATCTTGGACGCGACGTTAAATCCAATTTCACCTCACCTCACCTTTGTTGTGTGTGTATATAAATTGTAAGGGATTGTGATGTCTTTGTACGGTGTCGCAGGGCAGTAAGGTTTTAGGGTAACGTTGTGATACGGATTGTGTGTTACAGAGAACTGAGCTGATTGTGATATATAATATATATATCACACTACGTTTGGAAAATACTGGTATAGGCCCTATTGCATTTTTCACAAAATCATACACATATTGATCTTGTTGGAAAAGTTTACATGAGTGACAACCATGGACAAGTCAAATTGAAATGATGAAGTGATGAAATCAGCAACTGTTTCCTGTGATCAAAAGAGACAAACTATTTGAGACCAGTTTCCTGTTATTAATATTTCTATTACTTTATCCGATATGGCCATAACAACATCCAACAACATACCAAGTTGTCAAAAATGTGCAGGGGAAGTTTTTTCATTCAGGTTCAAATTCAGTTATAGATGAGTGAGTGAGTGAGTTTGGTTTTACGCTGCTTTTAGCAATATTCCAGCAATATCACGGCGGGGGACTAGAAATGGGCTTTACACATTGTACCCATGTCGTGAATCGAACCCGGGTCTTCGGCGTGACGAGCGAATGTTTTAACCACTTGGCTACCCGACCGTTCTATAGATGAAAGAATGCATGCAGTGCATTGAAGTATATATACAAATATATGGATCATTATTGCAATAAATTGCGATGCAAAGTTAAGGTCAATACCCATCTCTAGGTAGCAGGTATTCTATGTAGCCTGCAGTCAAGGAAATAATTTGTTTGTTTACTGTGTTACATCACACTCAGCATTATTACAATTATATGATGGCATCCTCTAAATAATTGAGTCTGGACCAGACACTCTAGTGACTTATATCATGATCAATGATTCAAGCTTTTGGGGTGCAATGACCCCAATCAACAAGCCACCGAGCCTGAACACCCAATCCACTCATGTTGCTGGGATCTATCCTAACCTGGAATCATTGCTCATTATGTCGATCACTGGATTGTCTGCACCAGATTCAGTTCATTTCAGGGCAGCATCATAAAGGTGTAATTGCTGAGTTGAGTGTAAAACATCACATAACAACCTTATGGACCAAATTTCAAGTGTATGGGAGTTATTTCATTCAGTCCCTGTGTACAATGTTCAGGGTGGCCACAGAGTCTGCTACTGATCGAGGGACTGGGTATATAAGATACTCAAATATCCACCTGGTACTTAAAGCTGTCAAAGCTTATACTGTATACATGATATAGCTGCTGGTTTTGTCCCAAGCCCCTAACACACAGACACACACACACACAGACACACACACATACACACACTCAGACACAAACACAGACACTCACACACACACACACACACACACACACACACACACACACACACACACACACACACACACACACACACACACACACACACACACACACACACACACACACAGAGAAACTTTTGGGCCAGTTAGTCTGGAGAAGGGGCCAGTAACTTTTGAAAGCAGCAAGCCCTGCTGGCTACATACAAATTTGTTGTTAAATCTACTCCTGGTTTTGCAAGGTCTTATCAATACTGACACAAAGAATTGTAATTAATCAATGCATCCTCAACTCGTTACATACAAGAGTATTTCTTCCTGGGTGTATTTTCAGATTTTGTGTTGGGACGAGAAGGCCATCTACCTGGAGCAGAGTTTCCTCCGACAGAAGGACAGCTTTGTGTGTGCCGTGTGCATGGTGAAGATGGTGGTGGCCGGGTCCGACTGCAGCCCACAGAAGGTCATTGATGTGATGCAGCCAGGGACAAAGTCGCCCAAGCCATTGCCTGAAGTCAGCAAGTGGATTGACAGCATAGCTTTGTCCAGTGAGAGATTACGGAAATCTTTGTGATCTCGGAGGAAGAAAGCTAGGCATTCAGAACACATTGTGATTGTAACATTGCATTGTAAATACTGTAAATCATGAAATTAATATGAAAAGTGCAAATGTCCCTTGTTTGCATTAATAAGGTGATGCATTTTGATCTCGATGTATTGAAGGTGAGGTGAAATGGGGTTTAACGTCGCGTCCAAGATTATTGCACTTATATAGCGACGTGCATGCACGTGTATGCGTGTGTGGGTGGCTGCTTGTACTAGTCCGGACTGATGCCGATTTATAGTGCTAGCACACTGAGATACCATGCCGCAGTTTAACATGAATACCCCACTGAGACACAGTATACTGACTCTGAGCTGACCAGTCCTTTAGTACCTTAATGCCAAGGGCCAGACAGGGTAACAACAAGTACCATCTTTTAACGTCTTTTGGTATGACGCTGCCGGGGATCGAACCTTCCTCTCTCCAGGCAAACGCTCTACCACTAGACCACGGAGGCGGTCCCGTGTAAGTAGGCTAATATCATGAACTGTTAGGTAAACAGACAAACTTTAACCCATCTACATTGAATGTTAGGTCAACATTTTTTCATCTTCCTGAGGCAAGGGAGTTAACTAACTATAAAAGTCGAGTTTCCACCCTTGCCGACCTAGGCTGGAATTATGGAGATATATTTTCCTTGTTTTAGCCCCTTAATGCTGAGTCCCAGACAGGGTAACAACAAGTACCATCTTTTAACGTCTTTTGGTATGACGCTGATGTATTGAAGTTTATATATGATCAACTAATATTACAAGCCAAACACTGCTCACCCACATAGGGGACATGTCCAGTACAGTAGCAACAGTCATGGTGAATACATGACACTGGTCATATTCATTCAAAGGATTGAGCTAACTGGTGTATCAACACTTGGAACCCCTAGTTTGAATATTTGAATTATTTGCAGTTTCTTGCTTTCATGGAAATTAGGTCACATGTTGGGTAGTTAAAGTTAAGTTTATGATGATATTACTCATTCGAACTGCTCTTACCTCAAACTAGATCATGGAATTCTAATTCTACATATCATTTGATGATTAGTTTTTAAAGTCCAAATGTTGTTTTTCTTGCATTTATTTCATGATGCATTTTAGGCCAGAGGTCAACACTTGCATTCATATGGCATGGCTTTAATTCCATGATTTACATCACTGGTTTTGTTTGAACTCTGTTAATGTAGTGTTAAGGACTATGTGCCCTTGATAGGCAAATTGAGAAATGTTATTTTATTCAAACTTGAAACTTTTTATCACTGTAGTGTAAGTAAGCATTGAAGCCTCTCCCTCTTGTTAGTCCTGTTGTCAGTAAAATACAAGTCCCCTTTGACAAGCCATCACATTAGTTAGAACTATATGAACGTGAATATTGGGAAAATTGGGGAATATTTATTGAAATTTGCTGCCAAGTTGGGACTGAATATTGACCTCTGATCAGGTCAAGATAAATCCATGATAGTGTTCACAAAACCAGTGAAGTAGTGATGATGGTAGCATGGAGTATTTCTCATAATTAGCAGTTTGATAGGACCTAATCAGCTGGCTGCCGATCGTGGGAAAGAACAGATCCCTTTCCACTTTTTGAAAATTACCTTTACACCTGTCAACGAATCTTCTTAAAAAATGGGGGCGGTCGGGTAGCCTAGTGGTTAAAACGTTCGCTCGTCACGCCGAAGACCCGGGCTCTATTCCCGTCATGGGTACAATGTCTGAAGCCCATTTCCAGTGTCCCCTGCTGTGATATTGCTGGAATATTGCTAAAAGCGGCATAAAAACATACTCACTCACTCTTCAAAAATGTTTTGAAATTCCTGGAACTACTCTTGAATGGTATTGGGTGATTGGTTGGAAAATGCAAATATTTCTACATTTGAGCATCAAAACAATCAATCTTGTTATTTGAAATCTAACAAACCTGTTTGGCGTATTGCATAGACATGAATGCTATTTCTTTGAAATCAGCCATTGGTAGTTTATTTAACTCCCAAGTTTTGTTTTATTGCTCACAACCAAATCCTACTCAGCAAAATCTTTAGATAATGATTAGAGTTGAAGATGGTCTGATAGTGGGATAGTGATTTATGCCCCGACGTGATAAAAAAATACTTCTACCATTGCGCATTTATAAAAAACATGTCAGCTTGATCTCTCTTCAGCTATATTTATTAAAACTTCATTTCGGATGCAAAGTGATTCGACCTACTTATAATTTAAAAACTCTTACCAAATGTTCTAAACTTTAAATTTCATATATAAAGTTACACAATTAGTGTAAAACTATTGTTTAAATTAAATTAAAAATGTTTTTTGTCCTGCTCGCCCTCTTGCTTGAGGTTGGAGATGAGAAACACATAAAGAAGATATTGATGTCCTAACCGATAAGTTCCAGTGTGATTGACATCCCGAACTGTTTGAGTAATTAGAAAGACATATTTGTATACGCAAAGCTGATAAAGAAATCATAGGTTTGTTCAACATAACTGATGTATATACTTTTTATTATGGAATCATGAATATGAAACATAAACTGTATGTGTGGTTTTGTATTCTAAGTGCTTGCAATCTCACATTCCAGTTCTCAAAGCATAGCAGCACATCTGTCAACATATTCTCTCATTGAATGAAGCCACAAAAAGAACAAGAAAGATGGATATTTTGTTATATGTTTTATTATGAGTTTTTGTCACAGTGAATTATATTTTTATGACTGTATTCAGTGCCTGCAAGATCACATTCCACTTCTCAAAGCATAACAGCATATCAGTCAACATATTCTCTCATTGAATGACACCAGAGCAAGGACAAAAAGACTGATATTGTACATGTTTTATTATAACTTTTTGTCACAATGATTAATTTTTGTCAAAATGTTTTTTATTTTTCATGAGGCTTAGATTTAAATACATACTTATTTTAATTTGATTATTTTAAAGCACTTGGTTCTAGTTTAGATACGAGATCTATCTACCGGTAATCTATCTCCAGGTAGACTTCTTCAAAACACTGTAGGTTTATCTCCTTGATGACATTATTGGATGAAAGGTGTATTGGTCTTAAGAGAAACTGAGCCCTGCTTTAATTAACTACATGTACACTTTGTTTGTGTTTATTTACTTCTTATTAATGATGTGACAATCATCATCATGCACCTTGTTAAGTTATTAAGTGAACCTGTTTGTGTTTGTATTAAACATTTTACAGAAATGACTTGTTAGTTAACATGTTGTTTTTCTTTTTTGAGTCAAAAGGATGTTGCGTGTGTGATTCGACTCTTCTGAGAGAGAGAGAGAGAGAGAGAGAGAGAGAGAGAGAGAGAGAGAGAGAGAGCTATTTGGTAAGACAATCGTTAAGAACCTAAGTTTACATGTATGCATTTATTTTGTCAGCACCATACCTGTGTTGGTGGGTTTATCTGCGACGTGCATAACTTTCGGTTTTCCTCTGGCACACTGTGAAATATTTGAAATACTGTTAAAAATGCTGTAAGAGGCCACTATGCTTGTCATAAGAGCCGACTGGATCGGGTTGCCAGGTTCGCTGACTTGGTTGATGCATGTCATCGCGTCCCACCTGCGTAGATCGATGCTCATGACGTCAATCACTGGACTGTCTGGTCCAGACTCAATTATTTAGAGACCGACCCATATAGCTGGAATATTGGTAGGTGCAGCGTTAAACACCAAACAAACAAACATCTTTACAAGTGGATCACGAGACGACATCATAGCATGGAACATGCCCTCTTGATGCAGAGTTAATTTTCTGACGCACATTATTACAAGCTCTGAAAAGTGAACGTTGTGCGAGAATTGCGGTCGTAACGGTATCTGGGCTGCTCTCATTAAACAATTTGGATTGTGACCTGTAGCACCCCCAGTTGAAATCAAAACCGTTTATTGGGAGCGGTACGGAGATACGGTTATTTTGGTCGCGCGACACTGGGTCTACCTCCAACTTTATAATTAAGAATGTTATCTATTGTAAATTTAATTGCAGGTTTGAAAATCAGTGCTACGTGTGCTGTTCAAGTCTCCACGTTTTGATCGTACACCGAGAAAAGTATTGTGGAACAAAAAGATTATTCATCAGATTTATGTAAACTGTGATCGAAGAAGATGCTCACTTATATCCGAACGACATGAAGAGATATCAATTGTATTTGTAAGCGTATGTATAACGTTAACATTGATTCGCCATGATATGTCGGAAACAGTGTTCAAAGCCGCATTAAACAATCTCATTCAGTATGTCATATTGGCCATGACTTAACCTAGTTCACTCTCGACCCTGTACACTATGTATCATTGGAAGCCATGAACGCGAACTGACACGACCCAGAGAAAAAAATAATTGATTGCAATGGAAACCTGAAGAATTGTCATCTATAATTAATACGGTAAATAACCGACAAACGTTCACACTCCATAAAAAATGTAATTCCTTCCGACGTGATTTTAATTTTAGATTTTGATTACATAGTCTTGTAGATAGATATGGGCATCTATTCCTTTTTTCTAAAAAACCCTTCCGGCTGCCTGTGCAAGCAAGTCATTAATATCGTGAAGTCCGTTTGCCAGACTTGAATAAGTGGAAGAGCCACACGTAAAATCCCCATGGCCGAAATTTACTATCGCCCATCGTAAAATCGATGTTGGTGAGAGCGATGTTTTCCGTCGAGCTAACAATGCCAAGTACATGCGAGTCGGTGCTATCTCTCTTGGTGGTAGTAAGTCCTTTAGTGTTTGGCTCAGCACTACACTCGCATGTTGGCATAGTGGCTTATATACTCACTGTGTATAAAAAGGCAACGAGAAATGATATGCCTGAGCCTATTTTAATATTGGTCATGTACAAGCGTAATTGAATAAGGATTAAGGAAATTCGCGATCGCACTCAATTATTTTACGTTTTGGTATTCATGTAGAATTGTGATAAGCTCATTTTGATCAACTTGATTTGATTTGTTGTTTAACGCCGCACTCAGCAATATTCCAGCTATATGACGCCGGTCCGTAAATAAACGAGTCTGGACCAGACATGATTAATATCATGAGCATCGATCCACGCAATTGGGTTCGATGACATGCATCAACCAAGTCAGCGAGCCTGACCACCCGATCCCGTTAGTCGCCTCTTACGACAAACATAGTCGCCTTTTACAGCAAGCATGGGTCGCTGAAGACCTGTTCTAACCCGGATCTTCACGGAATGTTTACGCGTCTACTACAACGG